ATTTGATCATGAAATGTATAGGAATTTCTTATTTGAATATTATCATCAATTTGTTGAATACATATGTTACTAAGATCAAGTGATTGTTTGTATGATATATTTATTAATCGAATAAAATATCCGAATGGATCAATATCAAGTATACGTAAATAAAGATATAGTAATTTTTCCATTTGAAAATATATTTGCCGTTTTTTTTAATTTATTAGATTGTCATGGTAATAATAAAATAGATTGAATTTTAACATACAGACACGTATTTATAGAAATGTTGTCGAATGTCTCGTTGTTTTATATACGGATATTTCTCGCATAGATAAAATTCTTATCAGTACTTCTAAAGTTTCTTTATAATTTGTCAAATTTATTCATCCATTATTCGAAAATCAAACAGAAAAAAGAAATCATACAGAAATATTTTTTGTTATTAATTAAAAAACAAATTATTTTAATTTCAACAAATAAATACATAATATAATTGATATATCACACTCTACTAAAGTATATAGATTAAAGCAATATAAAAAAAAAAGAAAGAACGCAATTTCTTTTAGAAATAACACAGGTGAGCAAATAACAAAACGAACAGAAAAAAATAATAATAACAATACCCAACAGAATCAAAATGAAAATTTACATTTGGCTATAATGTTATTTAATCTTCTGATTCACCTAGAATAGTTTAGATTAAATAATTTATTAATAATGAAAAATTTATACTTCTATCATTAGTTTTTGTTTTTGATCGAGAACGAGATACATGTTGAGAATTATGAGCGCTGCTATTTCGTCGACGATCTGATGATGAATGACGAGGTGAATCAGAATAAAGTTCAACATAACGATTACCTATAATAAAAAGAAAATCTTTAGTTTGAAAATAAAAACGAGATCATTTTTACCCATGAATTTTCTATCGCATTTAATTGCTTCATTGACTTCATCCTTTGTATTAAAATAAACATGACCATCACCATTAGGTCGATTCAAACGACGATCTTGCATAATTTCAATACGCACCGGTTGACATGTTGATGGGAAAAACTATGAAATTATTTTATGTAATTTGTTTTTTTGAAAGAAATTATTATACTTCACGAATATCATTTTCAACAACAGTATAAGGCATGCCACGCATTTTAATAAGATATTCGCCATTTTGATTTGATCTTACTGATGAGCGACGTACTGGACTTCGACTACGACTTCGTCGACGAAAATTATCACGAGATCCTGTTCAATGAATAAATATATTTTTATTAATGAATTGAATTATTTTTTTTGCTTACGACGAAGTTGTGGTCGAGGAGATCTTGATCGTGAACGTCGACGTTTTATTGGTTGACGACGATAATCTTTATCTTTTTCTTTTTGAATACATTTAAATAATTAATATTCTAACGATTTATTTACCTCGACTATTCGATCGTGATTGTCGGTTACTTCGACTTCGTTTCTTTGTACCATTATGATTATTATTTGTAGTAGTTTCATCTTCTTTTTCACCTGCAAATTGTTTTCCATTCGAATAAGCATCATTCATAATGGTTTTCTTCGCTTCATCATACGTCGATGGTTTTAATTCGATATATCTATTTGAAAAAAAATCAATCGATTAAATTTGATTTTATTTACTACTCTAATAATGAAAAACACATAAACTAAGATGCACAATATATATATGCACACACACAACGATATATATACATGAATTAATTATTTCTACCTGAGAGAGATCTCGGCAGCACCATTGATAATTACACCTCACCCCTGACCTGATCCTCCTTATATTTTTTAATCATTCCTTGTTTCAATCTTTTTCCTCGGAAAATCCATGCTCAACCGAACCTGTGTTGAATATGTTTTTGATTATACATATCAATTGCTTTATAGGCATTATCCATACTAACAAAAGCCACATATCCACCACCCAATGCATTATCCGACATATCACGTGTTATATAAATACCATTTCGAGCTATTACAATATCTAAATTGATATTTATGTATATATTAGAAAAAAAAATTTATATTTGTTTTAAAAAATACCTTTAAAAAATGTTTGTACATCACCCATTGTACACGTATATGGAAGACCATTCATATGAATAACTGGTTCACGCCATGAAATTACACCTTTATGTTTAATATAGAATTTATATTCATAATAACTCGCTCGAAACACTAAATATAAAAATATATATTCTAATAAATAAAAAAAATATTTTTACCTTCAATATATCGACTTCCCATATATTCATTACTTTTTTTTAATGCATCTTTAACATCATTTTCTGATTCAAGATCAACTAAACATTCACCTGATGAATTATCATTTTCATTGAATAAATGAATAGTAATAATACGACATGCTTGAAAAATTTTCAAAAAAAAATATAATTTTAATTTTAATTCATCAAAGAAATAAACTTACGAGAAAGAAAATCTTTAATATCATCTTTAGTTGATGAATAAGGTATACCACGAAGTTTAATTAAATAATCATGATCATGTGATAATCTACTGTGACTTCGATCTCGGCTCATCTTTTATTTTTCCTAAATTAAATCGTCAAAAAGCCAATGCGCGAAAAGCGCAAAAGATCTAAAGAAAAGCAATTTAATATATTACATTCCTGTGTATGTATGTTAGTTACAAAAAAAAGGGATTATATTCAAGGCTAAAAAAATATAAAAGAACAAGGAATGCAAATGAAACTAAAATAAAATAACTAAATAATCTAGATCAGCATATAACGATCATGTTATCGTCGTATCTACTACTTTAACTTACCTTCATTGACCCTAACAATAGAATCAATCCAATAGTAAAGCAGCGCTACTATCCATCACCTGACGATTTTACTCAAATGATTATTTGATTTAGATTGATTGAAATTTTAACTTTTCTTGTTATTATTTTATCTAATCTTCTAGCTTATGTTAGAACTGATTGATCGAGCAATTATCAATGCTTGTTTAACTGCTCATTCATGCATAGCGATGTGCTTTTTTTTCAAGCTATACAAATTATTATTAGCTGTTCAGTGTAAATTTTCGCTCAATTGAACTAATGAATAGAAACTTTGATCAATAAATATTGTTACTTACCAATCTATTTGTACATATATACACCATTAACAGAGAACAGAACGAATCATGATAATTGTCTTCCTTTTTTTTATTAGTAAAATATGTCAAGACGATTGATTGAAAAAAGAAACTGTTTATATATAATTTTCACACTTATCGATCATAGATTTTTAAACGATTTTATATTGATTTGACAGTCGTTGTAAGAAGCGATAAATTCTTTATATTGAATAAATCCTAAGAAATAAAATAATCCATCAATATATATATGATTTTGATAATATCAAATAAAACAAAACACAGATTTTATCTGTTTATAATCAAAATTTAATAGAATGAAATGTACGTCTTCATATAAATAAATCTACTATACATATAGTTGTTCAATGAAAACAAACCTATTCAATGACTTAAAGTGATAAAATTCAACGGAGATTTAGAAATAAACAGGAATGCGAAAGATAACTTCCAGAACAATTTAAAAACAAGAGAATGACTGACAAATATCACGGGTTAAAGAGTCAAATATATATTATCTGTGTCATAATCGTGAAGAACAAAATGAACATTCTGATATATGATTTTCTTTTTAAACTGAAATTGCGTAATTTTACAAAAAAAAGATGTTAAAATGTATAGATGAGTCAGTAATCCTGAAAGGATTAATTAAGAAAAAAAACACTGTCTAACTATCAAAGTAAAATAAATATTTTTACTAGAAATATTTCAATTCCAGTATTTCATCAAAACGTAGATACCAATAATTTATAAGACATTTTAGGATAGTTTAGTTTTCCAGATTTTGTAAAGCAGGTAATGATTAATGAATCGTAAATTCACAAAAGATAGAAATATTATGAAAAGGTAAACTTTCAAAAAATAATCGATACTCATTATACTAAAATATTTTCAATTAGATTATCAAAACTGATTATTTATATTATTTCCTGCAACGATATAATTTATTATTAAAAATCATTGTTATTTGTCTTTTGTTCTTTCCCATCAAAAGATATTCAATATGAAGCTATATTTATTCAACTCTTGCCATTGTATTCTTTCGAAAAAAAAGAAGACACGTGGACAATACCTTGTTTGTATTCAGTTGTTTTTACTTCTATCTGTTAATATATGCCTGGATTATATAGTATATAATAGAGGAATAATCATATGTGTTAACTTAGAAAATTCTCTCTCTCTCTTCTTCGTCTATCTATACATATAAACACAAGAATATAATATATATGCCGTCATATTGAACAAATCTTATTTTTTCGATTTTACATATTAGTCATGCCTCGTGATAATAATGGTAAACTAATATTTTTATCCATTATGTCTTTATATTTCAATTATTTATAATTTAGGTACTTTATTTGATGATGTGCATGCTGATCTTCGATATGATACATCGCGTCGTCTTCATAACACAACTCTAGCATCAACAACAATTCGTTTTATTGATGGTCATACATATGATTTAGTTGGACGTTATTCAATGCCAAAAACAATTGGTTCAGGTGCATTTGGACATGTTATATCGGCATGGGATAATTTATTACAACGTAAAGTTGCTATAAAAAAAATTCGTTTACCACCAATAAATACAGAAGAAGCAATGTTATTTTATTCACGTTCATTACGTGAAATTTGTATATTACCACCACTTAAACATGATAACATCGTACAAGTCTTAGATTGTTATACATCAGCTATATGTGCTGAACAAATGTCAGAAGTTTATTTAGTTACAAATTTAATGCGTCTTGATTTACATCAACTTATTAAAACAAATAAACAACGACCACCTGATATGAGAATTATTACTGCTAGTCATATCACTCATTTTCTTTATCAAATACTTCGAGCACTTAAATTTATTCATTCAGCTAAAGTTAGTAAGTAATTAAGATTTTAGATTCGTTTTTTTATGAATTTCGCTTTTTAAAAAAAATTCATTTTCTTAGTGCATCGAGATTTAAAACCAAGTAATATTTTTATTGACTTGGATGGTCATTTACGTATCGGTGATTTCGGTTTAGCACGTGTTCCAGAAGAAAATGGTGAAACACCAATGACAAGTTACGGTGAGTTTTAAAAACAACTTTCTCTCTATTTTTATTCTATTGATTGCTTATTTTATAGTTTGTACAAGATGGTATCGTGCACCTGAATTAATGTTATTAAATGGTACATATACAGCATCAATGGATATGTGGTCAGTTGGTTGTATTTTAGCTGAACTTATTTATGGTCAACCACTTTATCCAGGTCGACATCATATGGATCAATTACGTTTAATTCTTGAACATCGTTGTGGTTCGATAGGTTTTCCTTATCATCAACATAAAATTGCCTATCCAACAATAACTGAAAAATCCGTAAATTTACTTCGTCGTTCATTATCAAAATGTCCAAGAGAATATCCAAGTATATTTACACAAATGGATCCAACTATATTTGTTCCTGGTGTTGATAAACATGCATTTGATTTATTAGAACAATTACTTCGTATGAATCCATCCGAACGTATAACAGCTGATGATAGTTTACACAGTTGTTTATTTGATAATTATCGTAAAGAAGCAAGTGGTGAACCATCATCTGAAGAAGCATTTCAACTTGATTTATCACCGTATAATCTTCAAGAAATTCGTTCAATGCTTTTTCAAAAAGTTCGTCTTATTCATCAACAAATGCAAGATAAAGCACTTTTTTTAAATGAAAAAAAATTAGCTATGGAAGAAATGGATTGTTGTTAAAAAAACAAATCAAAACAAAACAAAACAAAAAAGAAAGAACAATCATCATTATTATCATCTACTTCTTCTCTTATGGATTGAGAAGGAATTATTTATATTTTTACTCAAACAAAAAAAAACAAATGATGATGAAGAAGAAGAATAATAGGTTTTTTTCTTCTTTTATATTTTTTTTCTTTAAAATATTCTATTAATGCAAAGAGATCTCACCTGAAGAGAGTGTGTTTTGTAGATTTTTTCGTTATTCGTTTCATCCGTTTTTTTGTTAATTCGGTTTTTATTTTATCATTTTAGTAGTGTAGAAGTTTTATTTTGCGTTTTTTTTCATTTCCGGACTTTTTTTTTTGGTTGTCGTTGAAAGGTTTTTTTCTTCAAAAACATATCTTATTATTTTAAATAGATGACAATGACGGTACCGAACTTATTCTTTCTGATATATACATCAAATATCGATAGTTGCGTTTGAATAATTGTTTATAACAAAACATTCTAAAGAATTTATTAGTGTATTTTGAAAAGATAATACTAGCACTACAAAAGATATGCAATAAATTGATTTGAAATTATCGATATTCACAAACGAAAAATCATTCATTCGGACAAATATTTTTGAGATATATATATAAGAAAATAAGCCTGCAATAATAAATCACTGGTATAGACATAGTTAATAAATAATAATACGATGTGATCGACC